TGTAGCACAAACCTTGACATTTTCATAGTAGTTTTTTGTATGTTGATGAATGTTGAGGTTGAATGGATAATTCGTGGTAATAAAATTCGGTGAACTGATCTAAGAGTAAAATAGCAAAGCCCTTCAGTGTTTTAAACACACTTTAGAAACCTACGAATATGTAGCTCAACAATGCAATCAAAATTTTATTAAGTTCGTAACCGTTGACGATTATAAAGATATTATCATTAAGACTGAACATGAAAGCCGTTATTGTCCTGGTACAAAGATATCACCGCATTTTACAAAAACACATGTCTGCAGAAGTTCTACACGAAAAGCTCAAGATATGCGTGCGAAATTACAGGAAATTAATAAGGAATACTCGGCAGACATTGAGGTAAGCAATGCCAGTAGTAAAAAGGAAAAAAATAAAGGGAAAAAGGAGTAAAAAAAAATTACTAAAAAAAGGCAACAACAAGAATAACAGCAACGGCTATATGACAGGATATAAAACAGGCGAAGTAAAAGAGAATTTGATGAGACCGTTCGTTGTAATAGGTTTTTTTCATGCAAATTTTAAACATGTGTGTATGTGCTTGTATATTACTACAATATATATATATATATATATAATTACATTAGACGTCATAACGAAGCCGTAGACGAAACCTCATGATGATTGGTGGTCTCAAAAAATGTGGTGGCATTTTTCTTTTTCTTTTTTTTTTTTTTTGCTTACCTACGCTTAAATCAAATTTGTTCACATAAAATATTGCAGTTGAAAGAGGGTTAGAAATAAGAATCTCATAAAGAAAATGGCGGTTCATATAATAGATAAATAAGCAAAAAAAACTTGTATTTGGCTTACGGCACATTTCAAATATCCACCACTAAGTTCTTTCAAGTTTCAAATCAATCAATTTTTGTGGAAGCTCTACGGAAATATATCCAAAATATATGAAAAATGTCGCCTAGATTGGATTGTTAAGTAATTGAAGGAATGTTTAAGGGGAGGAGGAGTTCCGTCCATATTTTAACATTTTATCTAAGAACCTCACTTAAGGCATTAGTCCTTTATCCATATGCTATTTTAGTTCTGGCGGCGGCCTAGGAACTCCAAGAGCATATATGTGGATAGATGGACGGATGGACATAAACAATGAAGTCTGAATGTTTGGTTGGCTATAAGTGGCGGCATTTATCGTCATGTTGTGTAGTCTAGATTTTTATGTAATGTCCCGCCCATCTTTTACCGCTTTGCCTGAGAACACTAATTAAGGGACTAATTCCATTTCCGTATGCTTTTCTAATCCTGGCGATGGTTTTGGGAAGTCCAAAAGTTTTTATGGATGAATGGACGGATGGACGAATGAAAACTGAATATTCTTTTGCCGATACATGGCGACATTTAAGATCATTATTCAGTGGAATTCTAAAAGCATGGATGGACAGACGGACGCAAAAAAATGAATCCTCAATATTCCTTTGTTTATTCCTTAATAGTGTTGTTGGCTGCGCGTAAAAGTTTATCAAAGCGAAAAACGCTAACCCGGTTTCCCTTGACTCATAATACGTGCGTAACTTATAGTTATTTGTGAAAACTGAATGAACGAATGAATGAATGAATGGCTAAATGAAACTAAATGGATCTAAATGACATATTTTGTTGCTTTTGTGAACATAAAACCGAATTTTATGAAATATAAATAACAAAAGAGTTATTTTTTTTCGTTGGTTGCGATGGAAATTGAAATTGAAAAACACACGAAATTGTTCCGCTCATTAACCATTTCAGCAAAATATGAAATTTCGGTTTAAATACTCAAGAATTTCAAAATTTAATTTGAAAAAAGTTCATTAAAAAGAAGAGTTCAATGAAGCATTTAAAGTCGAAAAAAATAAAAATAAATAAATAAATAAATAAATTAGAAACCAAGCCCTAAAGTCATTAGCATTTAACCACAATTTTGTTCGCAAATATCATTTTTCAATATGAAATAAATAATAATAATACAGGAGAGTGACATTAAATTAAAAGTTGAACATCCTTTTATCTCTGTGAGCGCATTTCACTTCACTTGTTTACCGGTTTTTTATAGCATGACTTCCTTAAACATTTGTTTACTAAAAGATTTAAAAAAAAAAAAAAAAACAAATGGAAGAACGAAAGAGAATGTAATTCATTCGGTCATTGTTCCACAGCATATGTTGAATTTTAAATAAATATACTTTTTCCACTTTTTTTTATATTGCCTCACGTATCCACAACTGTTGACGATTCTTTTGTATGAAACTGTCAAGTCATATCACATCACATCTCATCACCAATGTGACTGTTTTTCCTTCTTTTTTTTCCTTTTTTTTTTAAATGTCTACCAGTTTTATTTCCTTACCTCGCTTGCTGAGCCGCAGTAAAGTTGCAACAGCGGGACGAGTAAAGCAAAAAATCATTTGTTTTTTGCTTTTCTTGTGCTTTTTGCTTAATTTTATGAATAGTTTTTACTGCCTGCAATTTTATTAGGAAGCAATGTTGGCATTTTTAGAAAGTTTCTTCTTCCCTTCAAAAGTCAAAAAGAATTTTAAATATTTTAAGCAGAATAAAAATCAACTTGAATACCCTACACCATCCCATCGATATTCGTATAATGACTTTTTAAAATAGATCATTACCTGAGAAGTAGTCGGCAAAGTATTCCGATCCTAAGCATTTTCAATAGCGTTCGTCCTTGCATCGAACTACGGCGATATGCCGAATTTCATCAAAATTGCGGCCTGGAGTTTCAACAAATGTAAGCAAGGTGGACAGACGGACAGACAGATGAATTCAGAATTAGTAATAAAGGATTGGTCGATCTCAAGCCCTTCCCGATGTTACGTACATCTGGACAAACTTAAGTTTATAACCCAAGCGTGATATGGTGTAATGAAAACAGCATGGGCCTCAGGACGGATCGAATATACTCATGAGTAGATTAAAGGTAATTTCTTTGTTATTTATTTAACTGGCAGCCGTTTGCGATGATATTTCCATTCGTCGAGTTCATGGATTAGTGATTAAAATTTCAAATTTTCTAACAAGAGCTTCTGTTTGACTTAAAATAGTTTTGCCATCCTTGTTCTAGTTTTATCAATGAAAGGCCCGATGATGGGCTTCTGTGAGATCATTATATGCGCAACATCCACATATTATTCGTAATTTGTTTCCAAGCTCTAAGCAGAAAAGGTTAATTTAACGACAACGTGGACTCCATAGTCGAATAGATAAGAGGCGCGACTACAAAGTTTGTGTTCGTAGGTTCAAGTATCAGTATACAACACGTGGATGTAGGCGCAGTGAGTCTTCACTAGGTTGTGGCCACTTCATATTTCTTTTCCTTTCCGCACTTCTTTCTGACCATTATCACATTACACGTGTAAGGGGGATTGGTTTTGGTGATAAGCAAATCACTTTCGGTTTAACTACTAGCGGCCTATTTTAAACATTGCCTTTAGCGTGAAATCGAACCAACATCTCGAACAATAGGTGTTGAAATTTTTTCTTTTAAGTCACGCGGCTAAATGAATAGCTTCCTTAGCAGACACCTGCGTCGAATTTCATAGCATTCATTTTCAGCATCAAACATGACACATACCCATGCTTTCATCTGAAAAAGTAGCTTTTTCGATTCAACTTTAACTTTTCAATCGAAATAAACCTCTGCGTAATCGAAGCGACTTTTGGCGCTTTTCAGAATAACCTCGAAGTCACATGGAACTCGGTTAAGCAAATGGAGAAATTGGAATATCATATGAGTTATAATTCTTGTGAGAAAGTATCGCAGAAACGCCAAAGCGAGAGAAGGTGCCTTATTGCATAATCGAAGAATCAAGAGTTAATTATTAGTGGTTTTGACGAACAACTTCACGCAAACTAAGCATAATTCTCTTATAACATTATGTAGTGTAATGCGTTTAGCTTAACAAGTCCACAGGAATTTCCGATGCAGCATAACTCGAACTTAGTCTAGTTCTAGTTTTTGACATCAGTAGTGAGTTAATATTGGAGTGAAAATTTGAGCCGACTCTTACTTATATATTGAAAATCACAGAAATCCAAAAGGCACTTTCAACCTTATGTCGTAACTTTATTTCTTAAGTTGAGCATGAAAGTAGGCGAGCTTCGCTCTAGAGTGCGTTGAAAGCAGCAGCAAGTAGCAGCAAAGTAAGAAAGAAAAAAATGGTAAAACTTTATAAAAAAAATTTGTTAGTTTTTGGCTACAAACATCACCAGAGTTATGTTAGATTCGTCGGCGAATGTTCGTAACATATAGAAATGCGCACCGTCGATACCATAAAGTATGTATAATATTTCCAAACTGTATTTCCAATGATGTCTTACTTTGTAACTTTAATTTGAATTTTAAATTTTTTGTTAATAAAACCGAAATGCCTTTGTCGAAAACCACTTAAATCGAATTAAGGCATATATGCGAAAAAGCCTTATAAAGCTTTCGCCGCCTTTCCAACTAATCGTTCCGCCTGCTTAATACAGTACTCGTCTGCCCGCTTTTTGAACAATCCAACCCATTATTAAATCAAAATGTAAAGTCTGCGAGTGTTTTCTTGTGTGTATACACATGTAACACATCCACATACATGTATATATTTTTATATGTAAAAAGATCTATTGTACTCGCTCAAACTTCTAACTCTCCAGCTTTAGGAATCCAATGAGTCCCGTCACCTACTTAGATGAACCGTAGATGGCAGCGTGTTCGCACCGCATATGATGGAACATCGGCATGGATCGGTATCAGACGTACCTATATATTTTCCAGATAATACCTGAGGGAGTTGTATCATGTCTAGAAGGCCGTTGCGAGACATATGTCGCTACATCGTAGTTGCAATAGCTTGTGTTCTATGCCGAATGAGTTAATAAATTCGTACTCACGCATACTGCTCCCAATGCTTTGCGATTTCTTCTGCGCCCATTACAAGTCTCTTAGCACGGCTCCTTGGTAGAAAGATTTAAAAAATAAAATGTGGAACGCTTCAGGATTTTGCGTGTCATCCTTGCGCATGGCCGTTTCTTATCTTCTCTCTATCGCAAGAAGCAAGAATATAAACTACACTAAGCAAATTAAGTGCGTAGTGTAACTTGAAAGCAGTTGTTTACAAAAAGCTTCCAATTCACACAAGAATTTGATTTGATGCCTCATTTGCCCCATCGATTAACTCCATGAAATCAAAAACAAAGAATAGCGGGTAAAACTGTTTGTTCAAGTTTTTTTTTTTTACGTTGTGGGCTTAGCCCACAATTTGAGCAATTGAAAACGACTTTCATATCTATTTAACTGTTAATTGCATTTTTAAAAGGTGCTTTAACTGAATTTTCATTGCAATTGCCAATGAGTAAGGATTGGCTTTGGAAATAAATTATTTGCTATCCAATGCCCAAAAGGAAAAAATGTTGTTTAGTTTAATTAACACTTACTGCTAAAATTTGCTTTGAATGTATAAAGAGTTAGGAGTCAGTCACGTGTTTTGATATTAAAATTAAAATAAAAAGAAGAACGAACATTATAGTAGGGCAAGGGCGACCTTTATATACCCTACAACACTTCGCATAATACTGGTACTTGTTGGTCCCATGCGAAGGCATACTTTTCTTGAAAGCCCGCATATTAAAGGATTCCTATCACATCAAATGGTGTAGTCCAAATTTAACAAAAATTCCGCAAAATTTTATTATTTTTCAGTTTCCGTTAAAGAAAACTAGAAGTTAAACTTTCTTTCCATATAAGGGGTTGCTTTTTATAATAATCCCCATATATATTAAGTCTCTAAAAAATAGACCTATGTGATCCAAATCCCCCACCGTTAATTTTTGTACTAAATCGCTTCTACGAACCAATTTTCATCGTAAAATATCAGAAGTTAAATCTTTTTCTGAAAAAGTTACTATTCGCGCGAAATCTTACATGGAATGGGGTCCATGTCGATCAAAATTGGTCGATTTAATTTTTATGTCAAACTACTACCATAAAAAAATTTCCATCATAAAACATTAACCATTAACCCTCTTTGGTATATAAGGGCTTACATCCCGATAGAATCCTTATATGCGATGATCACCCAAAATTGGATCCACGTGGACCAAACTCGATAAGATTGGTTTCTATGTCAATTTGCGAACCAATTTCCGTCATTAAATAGTGAAAATTATTATATAAAGATTTAGTCTACGTACGAGCGAACGAAGGATTACGAGAGGTGGCTCAAAAAATTACCCCAAACTTTTCAAACCAATTTAGAATGCCGACATACTACTATTACTCATAGGTTTTTATTGAGACGTTTTGAAAATTGGAATTTTTTTCCATATAAGGGCATTTCAAAGTAGGCTTTATATGAGAAGTGGTCAAAAAAGTGGACCGATGCTAACCATTTTCGGTATTCCAATATTCATGAAAGATCTCCAAATTCCAACCTGCGCGCGAAAATCCATGAACGGACCTTAGACAGATAGACGGACAGACGAGTATCAGTATAATAAAAGGTTAGTCGATCTTAATACCTTCTGGGTTTATGTACGTCCCCCACAAATTTATTACCACAAGTAATGTAGGGCAAATTAATTCAAAAACTAGACTTGATCGATTTGTCTTTCGTTACGATCTGCGATTAGTGTATATCGAGTAAATGTATTTTTGTTGCCCCTAACGTTGTAATGAAATATCGTACACCAGGCAGTGCTAGTGGATATTAATGAACGATGAAGGCTGAAATTCCTTCTCTTGCTTGCTCAGAAATAAGTTTTTGAAAATAATTTAAATAAAATTTTTGCTAAAATTCAGAAAAAATTATATGACGGCCACATCCAAGTGCTATTATATAATTATGTTGCGAACGTGAAACGAGTTGATATCTATTGCAAAAGTTTTTTTGGTGCACGATATGCATTAGTGAAACTCTTTAACTTATTTATCAATGTGTTTTATTCTCTCTATTTGGGACCACAGCTGGTGCGGTATTAAGCTTAAGCATTTTAATTAACTACGAAATGTTACGTTTGCCGAATGCTTTCCACGCTTCTCTATGCACAGAATTTTAATTAAGTTTAATAACTTGCCACACTCTACTATATAGTATACATATATATGTATACTGGAGACAATTTCGATATCGATTCCATTAGCTAATGTCTAATATATATATATATATATATGTTTGCGTGCACATATATGAATGCTATAAAACAAAAATCTCTATGGTTTCCTCCGGATAAAATATGAGAAAAACAATTTAAAATTAAAAGCATAGAGGAATGAAAACAAATAAATGCGGGTACCCCTAGCATATGAAAACCTTGCACGCACATACGTGTCGTATGGCATAGCATTTCAACTAATTACACTTGGGAATGTTACAATAATTTTCTGAATATAATAATAACCATAGCACCTCTCTTGCGGCACCATAATGTTTATTTTGGCGGTTGGTTTGGGTTAATAATTAAAATTTTAATACAAAAATAAACAAAAACTGCAACTGTTGTTTATTGTCCTCCATCTTTCCGTCATACAAATTTAACTTATCGCATACTCGAGGTTTTTTTTTTATTTTTATTTTAATTTTTTTTTTTTTTTTTTCTTTAAATCAATTCAAATTGTTGAAATTGTAGTCGATGCAACATAATACCATAAAGACCAAGTCAGTCACTGCTATGTCAATTGATTATTAAATAATTTCATCGACACGGAGAGAAAAACCTCCAATGACATTAAAAACAAATGAGTCATAAAGCGAGTTAATAGAAATAAATGACGAAACGCGACATATGAGTTATATGAGACAAAGTCATTATTGTTTAGCTGCCTTGAAAAAGCGCAGCAAAAGTGAAAGATGAGAAGCCAACCACTAAACTGTAGCGAGTAAAGAAATCAAAACAATTTATGTATTAGGCTGGCGAAAAAATATTGCAGGTTGTCACAACATACCGTTATATTCCTTTTGACCTATTTCGGGGACTATTTAGGCCATGGGGTCTTTCATAGTTGCCGTTCTCGAATAAAGTCGATAGTTGTCGATCAAAGACTGACTGCAATGAGTGCTGCGTTTACTGCTATCGATAAAAACACCACTTGCGCTACAAGTATAAGTTAAGTGTGTGGGGATGCATGCAATACGCGGAAGGACTTGAGATAGACCCCCGTATTATTTTACTAATCGAGTCAGAATGATTTTCTGGATCGTTGTAAGCTGGTCTGTCCTTCCGTCTGTCTTACTCTTTGCGTTCAACTTACAGGCGGCAAGCTAGCGGACTAGCTGTAGAGATTTTACTTGTCTTTACCGTCGAATGAAAAAGTTCAGAGCACCTTCGCATTAATGTTTGACAGTTTAAGTAACTCGCAGCCAACATTTGAAAGTTATTTAAAACGAGGATGCCACGCATGGGAAACTGTGCCTTTCCCAATATTAAAGAATGTGCTTTTTAGTAAGACGTCCGTACGACCGTGTATGTTTTCCTAAATTCTCTTTATGCTATGTTTCACTTTGTCGAGATTTTTCATTTTTACTTCCCTCTCTGCAGTCGTTCCGTATTTCTTACATGTCTTATAAGTTTTGTTTTTGTTGACTCCTGCCATTGTCGCGACCTAAAAGATACGGGTGAACAAGTTTGCGCTCCCTAAGAACGTATGTTTGTTTCAGTTTATTAAAATGCAGTGGACGTGTTAAGAAGTTTGATCGGATTCTTCATGAGTTTAAAGAACGTCATTGAAGACAACGACTTGTTAAATTAAAGCGTTATATTTGAAGTGATTCTGAAGTGAAAAGTGATCTTGTCCAACCATTTTTCATAGCGTTCGACCTTGAGCCAAAACAAGGTCAGTGTACCAAATTTAATCAAAATATTTCACAATTTACTTGTAGGCAGTAAGAAAACAAGACGGACAGATGGACGGACAAGCTCAAATCAATTTAGAAAACGATTCTGAATCGATCGGTATAATAAAAGATGAATCTATGTGAACTCCTTCTGGGCGTTGCAAACATTGTCATAAAACTGACTTATCCTTGTACGGCAAGTGATATAGGATAGAAAGCAAAAAGAATTTTGGAAATTTTATTTTATTGAGGAAACACTATTTTCTCCTCGCCATATGTGGGAAATTATTGCGGGTCCAAATGCGAGGACTAGCGGATACCATTTTTATGCGTAACTTGTTTCGAAATGCGCAATAAAATGTTTTGATAATGTCAGACAATCACATTTTACTTAATTGTTTTGTTGATAATTATCAAGAGTTCTATGGGGATAAAATTTCGAAGCCGTCCAATTGAGACTACAAGCTTATCGAAAGAAATAAGAAAACATATCGACAATTAGTTAAATTTTCTCATTTTCTTTTTTTTAATACAAAAAACGTACTTTTGTTTCAACCCATTAAAAATAAAAAAAAATAAAAAAGCGAAAGCCAAAGCAAAAGCGAAATTACTTTCTCGTCAATTTATTATTTGTTCATTTGCATTAAAGAATTTATTCATTTTTAACTGTGCCTTAGAAATTTCTTTTAATAATTACCGTTAGAAGAGTAATTGTCTTGAGAAAAGTTAAACGAAAAATTTCCCATAAGAAAGTTTTATTTAATAAGTTTTGATTTTCTGCAAAATTGAGAGCAAACGAAGCACTAAGACAAACAATATTTAATTTTAGTAAAAATTAAAAAAAAAAAAAAAAAAAACAACCAAAGCAGATCATCCACTTTAGAAGTACAATAAATAAAAGACATTTTTACTTGTTAACTCGTTTGACCCTTGAGATCTATTTGTGGAGCCAATTCGACTAACGAATTGATTGCTTTACCTAACCTATCCTGGGCTATCTCTGATTCACTTACGGAACTGCATGGAAATGATGCAAATGCAAAAGCTGAAGAAGTCGGCTAAACAACTGGATGTAAGGGATCCCTAAAGTACTTCTTATTAATAGAAGCGTGACTTTATTCTTATGCCTATTAACAGTGCACAAAGTATGGGGCCGAGGAAAGGTGGTTTTTTTTTTGGCAGCACATGTACATGAAAAAGTTGCTATAAAACAAATTTTTCATACACTCTTCAAAGCTGTTCTTCTTCTTCT